CTCTTAAATTTCTTACAGATCTTGAGTTTTAAGATTTCCTTTGTTTTTGATATTTTTCAGATGATATGATGTTGGAAATAGATTAAATATGTGATGTATAAAAATGAATGAAGTATGTATAATAACATTTATCTTTTACAGCTGACTCTTATAATTGATGATTAATTTATTATCTCTTTTCTTACACTTTTTCTCTATCTGCTAGTCACTACTCTTATACAATCTTTATATAATACAGTGTTCAATGACTAGGTTCAGCAGCTTTCAACTTTTTATGATTCTGTCTCACATATTATACTGTCTCTCTTCACTCACTCAGATCACTACAGTGAACAGCTTATTGAAACTAATCTCATCTGATCTCTGAGCATCTTCAGAGATTAAGATGACTTAGTCTCATGTGTTCATGAATATTTCAGATAGTTCATTCTCTGTGATCTCTGTGATTGAACTGATGTAAACAGTTGAATTTAACTCTGAATTTCTTTTTCTTCTGTGATCTGATTCATATACAAGTCTGCTGCTTTGAGATCACTCTTTGTCATGTTGCACTCACTGTCTGTGATGTGTTATCATACAATCAGCTACAGTCTCATCACTTATTGAAGTGTGATATTCATCTGATTTCTTCATTTCTTCCCATTCTTTTCTTATAATTGTGAAAAGATCAGAATAAGTGAGATTATCTGGTTTGTAAGTGTCTATGATTTCTCTTACTTTGCAAGACTTTTCAATTATAAGTCTCTTCTTTTTCAACACTGATAATAGTGCTGTGAATAATCATAATTCACTCAGATCTTACACTCTTACTTTCATAAGTTATGAATCATTGATTAAGTTTTGTAAGATTCATCTCTCTGATTCTTTCAATGTGTATGTTCTCAGAGAATGTGATTTAAGTATTTTATATGACTCAAATCATCTAGATTGAAACTTCTCAGAACTCTCATTATATATAAGAACTCATGTTCTCATCTTGAGACTTGATTTCTTAACAAGTGAGTCTTGTATTCTTTTCAATTGAATTGCTCAGTTCAGAAGTAACTTGTTAGCTTTTGCATGTGTATAGCTGATCTCTTTCAATCTTGATTCTATGTCTGTGACTGTTGTGTCTGCAACTGCTGTTTCTGCTGTGTTCACAACTGCTCTCTCTCTCATCTTTTTCAAAGTATTCTTCAGAATACGCGGATGCAATTCATACAACAGGTAGAATGATGAATGCTTAGAGACTGCATGCTGTCAAATCCGCATGATCAATAGCGCCTGCCTGAGATATTCATTTCATAGTCTCATAGACTTGCTCACTAGATATTTCATCAGCATATTATTTAAGATTTCATTCAAGTGTTCCATCTTTCTGTTTGTTCATGAATGATATAATATTGTTCTATAATATCTTATCTGTAACTGGCTCATGAAATGCCTCATCACTCCTTCTATGAGATTCACACTATTATCAGTTAGAATCTCACGCGGCATTTCATAGTTAACATAGATCTCATTATATAGAAACTTTGTCATCACCTTCTCTATTATCTCTGAAACTGCTTTCACAACTGACCAGTCAGTAGTGTAATCAATAGCAGTGATTATTTATTGATTTTCATTTGACATTTGTGATAATATGTCTATGAGATTCATCTCTCATTGTTTGAACAGTTATATTGTACACTTCATCTGATATTGTGCTTTCTTATGTTCTAATCCTTTCTTCAATTCTTTCATGACCTGGTAATTCAGGCACTTGTGAGTGTACATCTGAATGTTCTCAGCCATGCTTAGTCAGTATACTCTTAGTTTGAGTACACTCATGAGTTCAGAGCTTTCTAAGTGACTGAATTTCTTGTGCATGTGAGTCACTAAGTCATGTTGAAATGAAGATTCTAGATAGAGAGCTTCTGTATATTCTAGATCATGATAAAGTACAATGTCATTTTTCAATTTTCTCAGCTTGAAGTTCAGAAGCATCTCTTCTACTACTTTCACAAGATACTTATCATCTGACATCTTGTCATTCTTCAAGTGAGAGATCATGATGTTCACTTATTCTGATTCCTTGCATCTTCTCAGTGCATTTAATATGAATATTTCTTATACCTAGTTTGCAGAACTCTCACTTATGAAATTGAGTCTGTAACTGATTATATCAGATATCACTGTGTCTGATTCTTTTCAGTATTTGATATGAAGATTGTACACTTGAAACTCTGAGATTTAACATACTAAGTGTTTGAAAGATTTTATTGTTGATTGTAGATAGATGAGACTTTTATAATCTGTGATCACTGTTATTGTATACTTATTGTCAATATATCTATTTCACAATATCAGTGTGTGCTTGATTACTAGCAATTTCTTTTCATACACTGAATAATTGAGCTCAGTGTCTGATAGTTTTCTATCATTGTATATCATCAGATGCAGCTTGTCATTCTTACTCATCTGTAGAAGAGCATCTCTGATAGCTCATTTAAATATGTCTGTCTTGATATAGAAAGATTTATTATGATTTGATTAAATAAGCACTGAGAATGTTATTACATGTTCTCTCAGTGTGAGAAAAGCCTCTTTATACACAGTATTTCAGATAATTGAATGAAACTTCTTCTTTCACAGATTTGTATCTGTTTCTCTTAAGAGATCTGAGAGTGATGCAGATATTTGTGTGAAATCCTTGATAAATCTGCAGTAATATGAGATCAACTCAAGAAACTGTTATATATAATGTACATTTCTCAGCTGTGATCAATTTGCTATGACATTCAATTTCTTCAGAATAAGGTATATACAGTCATCACTCACTACATGTCTCATGAACTTCAACTCTTTCATTTCAAACACACACTTGATTGATTTGATATAGAGCTTATACTCTGTCAGAGTTGTAAGCACTTCATTGAGATGCTTCAGATATTCATTGTATGAGTTTGAAAAGACTAGAATGTCATCAAGATATATGAGACATGAGGTTTCATTCTGTTTATAAAGAATTGTATTCATCATTATTTAGAAGATGATAAGCACATTTATCAGACTGAATGATATTACTAGGAATTCAAACTTCTCTTATTACATATTAAACACAGTTCACAGAACTGATAGTTCATCTACATGAATCTGTCAGTATTCTGAGAGAAGATTAATCTTTGATAGATATCAGATGTTTCTGACTGTATTCAACTATTATTGAATTCATGACAGTGAATATTTATTCTTGATTGTAAGCTTGTTGAGTGCTTAATAATTAATACACATTCATCACTCTTCACCTGCCTTTTTCATGAATAGAACTGAAAAGCCTCATGTGCTTGATGAGAGTTGTATGAGATCATATTCTAGAAAGTCAGTGATCTGACACTTCTGTTCTTTGAGATATGTTTGTAACAGAGGGTATATGTTCTGATTGACTGGTTTTGCATTCTCTGTGTCAATCTCATGTATAAATCCTCATTCTGATAGCAATTCTGATGAAAGGTCTGTTCAGAAGACCTTTCTATGCTTCTTCAGAAGCTTCTTCATATGCTTGTCCTCTCACATATTCTTTATCTTGATTTTCTTCACTTTCAGGTTCTGTATGACATACAGAATGCTTTCAGATGAGGTCTTGTGAATTGTTCTCTTTACTTGTTAATGTGTAAGCAGATTTAATCCTTCTATATCAGAGATGTGAAATGTCCTTCTCATATCAGTTGATAGAATTGTATGAACCATTTTCTTTCTATTGATTAACTGTATATAACATGTACATCATTGAATCTGCAGATTGAATCTTTGAAATCAATTGAGTCTGAGAATAAGATTGTATTTCATGTTCTGCAGCTCTCACACTCAAATATAGCAAGATCATTCTCTGAAGTGCAAGAAAACTCTTACTCTTGCAGGTGATATCAAATATCAGTTATCAGATAATCTTATATATTGAGAATTCTTCACTCAGTGAATCTCTTTCAATCTTTGAATTATATAATTATTAATATATTGTGTAGAAGCTTCTATGTCTGCTAACACTTTTGCAGCCATCTCTTGATTCTTATTCAAGTGTTCTCTATACATTAACATTTCAGGTCTCAAGACATTGAGATGAGTGTTCACTTCATCATTCTTACTCACATCTCATTTAGAAGCCTGCTTCTTCTTTATATTCACAGAATTCAGAGAGTCATCTAATGCAGGCATCTCTTTCACTTTGAAGACTTTTCATAGAATATCAGTGAGTGTCTCTGAGCTCACTGATTCTGCTAGTTTTTTGACTCTCTTGCTTCTCTTGACTGTGTACACTGAGTGCAATCTTTTACATCATAATTTTGATATCTGCAGTTAAAGCAAGCTCAATACTCACAATATCAAGATTTTCACTCAGAGAATCTCTTTTTCAGGGAATTCAGTGCTTTAGTGATGACATTCAGATCTAGATTCATCACATTCAAGTGTGTGATTTGTGTTATAGAAGTCTGATTATTCATTCTTCACTGAGACATACTCAATTGCAGTATTTTCTGTCACAATTAACTTACTTATTCTTGTACAATGAGAATGTTGTATACTTCTTTCACTGTGTCTGATTATGAGATTAAGCATTTTCATTCCACTCTTAACTTAAATGTAAGATCATGAATGAAGATCTGTAAACAGAAAGATGTTAAAAGCTCTTCATTCAATATAAGATAATGTAAACTGAAGTGTGTGAAGTATAATGTAAGATTGCTCACTTGTCTACACTCAGTGAAGTATTTGTAACACTTGTCTCACATATTCACTTTCTCAAAGTTGTACAAGATCTATTTGAAAAACTCATTTCATATTTATAAGAATGAATATTACTCTGAGTCTGCAAGATTTATCTTTTCATCAGTTATTTATAATGACTTCACTTTTCTGCATAGAAATGCAGTAGATCTTAAGACTTATTGAAATTTCATTGACTATCTGTCTGTGAGTTCATATTCAATCTGATAATATGATTACATCTGACTTAGTCAGCTGATTACAGCATCATTTTTTCAGTCATCATTGAAGCTTGATAGCTTCAGTAGATCTCTCAGCTTGATATATTTCATACTCAGATTCTCATTCTGTGCAGTGATCTCTGATGATGTGTATGCTTCTAAAGAGATTGTGAATAATTGTGATGAGATCTTCAGGTTCAGTGTAGTCATCTATCTGCATAAACATTTGATCTTCTGCTGCTGTGATTCGGAAGAACGTACGACCGTCGGATAATAACGCGGCCGCTTCCGAACTACTAGCGTACGCGTACGCTTCCGAACTACTAGCGTACGCGTATAAATGTAAAGGGGGCCCTAGCGGCCACTAATTAATTTAGCGTACGAGATTCAATATATAAGAAGCCGGCGTACGCCTGTAATTATATGCTGGCTTAAGCAACCTTTGAATCACATCTGATAGCATGTCTAAAAACTGGTGAGAAGTGCAGACTTCTTCAGAGCATGATAATTCCATCTATGAAGTGATTCATAGTTATCATGCCAGTGTGGTTCTAGAAAACATCTCAAAAGATAGTGTATAAAGAGTGATGAGTGAAAGAGTATCTGATTGATACTGCTTCACTTGTTGAGGAAAAAACTCCATGCTCAGATGCATGCCATGTATGAGATATAAACAGATGAGGTGTGAGAAAGAAGATGAAAGCAGTGAACCAGATTCAAAGAAGTTCACTCCCTACTCAAAAGAAGAATAAAAGAAGGAGTGGCCATCACTGAAGTTGTATAATGATAACAGAAATCATACAGTGATATAGTGATATAATGATAGACATCATACAATCAATCAGAAATTATCAAAATGAATACCTTCTCTAGCTGATACAAACAACACTCTTCTCTGCTACCTGAATCAGAAGATATACAGAATCTCTCAGAGAATTTACTCAAAGCAGTAAGAAAAGCAGCTGAGACTACTGAACTGAAATCAAAGCTCTGTATGTGTATAAGAATTCTAAACAAGATTGAGACCTTGTGTACACAGTGACAGGCTGAGGCAGAGATCAAACAACAATTGACATTCACTGCAGATCAAGCATTCACTATGAAGAGCTTCACTGACACAATCATCATCATTAATAAGAATAGAGAAAATCAGATCTTAGGTCTGCAGCAGAAGATCAAATGTTTATATAAATAGATAACTACACTGAATCTGAAGATTTCATTATGATTGTTCACAACCTCTTCAGAAGCATACACATTATCAGAGACTGCTGCACAGAATAAGAATCTGAGTATGAAATATATTAAGTCAGAAGATCTGCTGAAGTCATCAAGCTTTAATAGTGACTGAAAAAATGATGCTGCAATCAGCTGACTAAGTCAGATACAATCATATTATCAGATTGAATGTGAACTCACAGACAGATAGTCAACAGAATTTCAACAAGTCTTAAGATCTGCTGCATTTCTACATGAAAAAGCAAAGTCATTATGAATGACTGATGAAAAGATAAATCTCACAGACTCAGAGTGATATTCATTCTCATAAACATGAAATGAGTTTTCTAAGTGAATCTTGTATAACTTTGAGAAAGTGAATACATGAGACAAGTGTTATGAACACTTCACTGAGTGTAGATAAGTGAGTAATCTTACATTGTACTTCATACACTTCAGCTTACACTATCTCACATTGAATGAAGAGCTTTCAACATCTTTCTATTTACAGATCTTCATTCATGATCTTACACCTGAGTTGAGAGTGAAATGAAAATGCTTAATCTCACAGTCAGACACAGTGAAGAAAGCATACAACATTCTCATTGTATGAGAACAAGTGAGTCAATTATGACAGAAAATACTGCAATTGAGTATACTTCAGTGAAGAACAGATAATCAGACTTCTATGACACAAGTCACACATCTGAATGTGATGAATCTAGATCTGAACATCATCACTAAAGCACTGAATCCTCTGAAAAAGAGATTCTCTGAGTGAAAATCTTGATATTATGAGTATTAAGCTTGTTTCAACTGCAGATATCAAAATCATGATGTAAAAGATTGCACTCAGTGTGCACAGTCAAGAGAAGCAAGAGAGTCAAAAAACTAGCAGAATCAGTGAGCTCAGAGACACTCACTGATATTCTATGAAAAGTCTTCAAAGTGAAAGAGATGCCTGCATTAGATAACTCTCTGAATTCTGTGAATGCAAAGAAGAAGCAGGCTTCTGAATGAGATATGAATAAGAATGATGAAGTGAACACTCATCTCAATGCCTTAAGACCTGAAATGTTAATGTATAGAGAGCACTTGAATAAGAATTGAGAGATGGCTGCAAAAGTGTTAGTGAACACAGAAGCTTCTATGTAATATATTGATGATTATATGATGTGAAGATTGAAAGAGGTTCGCTGAGTGAAGAATCTCTGATGTATACAATTATCTGATAACTGATATCTGATATCACCTGCAAAAGTAAGAGTTCTCTTGCACTTCAGAGAATGATCTTGTTATATTTGAGTGTGAGAGCTGCAGAACATGAAATATGACCTTATTCTCAGACTCAATTAATTTCAAAGGTTCAATCTGCAGATTCAATGACATACATGCTATATACAGTTGACTGATAGAAAGAAAATGATTCATACAATTCTATCAACTGATATGAGAAGGACATTTCACATCTCTGATATAGAAGGATTAAATCTGCTTATACATTAACAAGCAAAGAGAACAATTCATAAGACCTTATCTAAAAGCATTCTGTATGTCATACAGGACCTGAAAGCAGAGAAAATCAAGATAAAGAATATGTGAGAGAATAAGCATATGAAGAAGCTTCTGAAGAAGCATGAGAAGATCTTCTGAACAGATCTTTCACTGAAATTGTCACTGAAATGAGGATTTGTACATGAGATTGACACAGAGAACATAAAACCAGTCAATCAGAATGCATACTCTCTGTCACAAATGCATCTCAAAGAACAGAAGTGTCAGATCACAGACCTTCTAGAACATGATCTCATATGACTCTCATCAAGTGTGTGAGGCTTTCCAGTTCTATTCATGAAAAAGGCAGATGAGAAGTGATGAATGTGTATTGATTATCAAGCACTCAATAAGCTTATGATCAAGAATGAATATTCACTGTCATAAATTCAACAACAGTTAAATACAGTTGAAAATATCTGATATCTATTGAAGATTGATCTTCTCTCAGAATACTGATAGATCTGTGTAGACAAACTGTCAGTTTCATGAACTGCATTTAATATGCAATGAGAGAAGTTTGAATTCCTGATAATATCATTCAGTCTGACAAATACATCTGTTATCTTTCAAATGATAATGAATATGATTCTTCATAAACAGAATGAAACCTCATATCTTGTATATCTCAATAACATTCTAGTCTTTTCAAACTCATACAATAAACATCTGAAGTATCTTGATAAAGTGCTTACAACTCTGACAGAGTATAAGCTCTATGTCAAATTAATCAAGTATGTGTTTGAAATGAAAGAGTTGAAGTTCATAGAATATGTAGTGAGTGATGACTGTATACATCTCATCTCAGAGAAATTGAATGTTATAGTGAATTAATCATGGCTGAGAAACATACATCATGTATGACAGTTTCTTGAGTTAGTCTCATACTACCACAGATTTATCAAGGATTTCACATGAATATCTGCATCACTCTCAGATCTCTTAAGAGAAATAGATGCAAATCTGTGAAAGAAGAAGTTTCATTCAATTATCTGAAATGCTGTGTATGAAGAGGCTTTTCTCACACTGAGAGAATGTGTAACAACATTCTCAGTGCTTATTCAATCAGATTGTGATAAATCTTTCTACATTGAGATGAATGTATCTGAATGAGCTATCAGAGACACTCTTCTACAGATGAGTAAGAACAGCAAGCTGCACTTAGTAATATACAATGATAGAAAACTATCAGGCACTGAGCTTAATTACTCAGTGTATGAAAAGAAATTGCTAGTAATCAAGCACATACTGATGTTGTGAAATAGATATATTGATAATAAGTATACAATAACAGTGATCATGAATTATGAAAGCCTTGTCTATCTACAATTAACAATAAAATCTTTCAAATGCTTAGTATATTGAATCTTGAAGTTTCAAGTGTATAATCTTCATATCAAATACTGAAAAGAATTGAACACAGTAATACTGAATGCAATCAGTTACAGATCTGATTTCATGAGTGAGAGTTCTGTGAACCAGGCACAAGAGATGTTCATGTTAAATGTACTGAGAGAATGTAAGAAATCAGAATGAGTGAATATCATGATCTCTTACTTAAAGAATGACAAGATATCAGATGATAAGCATCTTATGAAAGTAGTAGAAGAGATGCTTCTGAACTTCAAGCTGAGGAAATTGAAAAATGATATTGTGCTTTACTGTGATCTAGAATATGCAGAAGCTTTCTATCTAGAACCTTTATTTTGATGTGACTTAGTGACTCACATGCACAAAGAATTCAGTCACTTAGAAAGCCCTGAACTCATGAGTGTACTTGAATCAAGAGTGTACTGATTAAGCATGACTGAGAATATTCAGATATATGCTCATGAGTGCCTGAATTACCAGGTCATGAAAAGATCTAAGAAAGGATTAGAACATGAAGAAGCACAACATCAGATGAAGTGTATGATACAACTGTTCAAATGATGAGAGATGAATCTCATAGGCATATTACTGCAAATATCAAATGAAAATTGATGAATAATCACTGCTATTAATTACACTACTGACTGGCCAGTTATAAAAGCAGTTTCAGAGATGATAGAGAAGATGATGATAAAGTTTCTACATAATAAGATCTATGTTAACTATAAAATGCTGCATAAGATTCTAACTGATAACAGTGTGAATCTCATAGAAGAAGCAGTGAGGCATTTCATGAGCCAGTTACAGACAAGATATTGTAGAACAACATCATATCATTCACAGACAAACAGAAAGATGAAATACTTGAATGAAATCTTGAGCAACATGCTGATGAAATATCTAGTGAGTAAGCCTATGAGACTATGAAATGAATATCTCAGACAGGCGCTATTGATCACACAGATTCAACAGCATGCAGTCTTCAAGTGTTCATCATTCTACCTGTTGTATGAATTGCACCCGCGCATCCCAGAGAATGCTTCAGAAAAGATGAGAAAGAGAGCAGTTACAGATACAACAGTAGCAGTTGCAGACATAACAGTTGCAGATGCAGAACCAAGATTAAAAGAGATCAGTCATGCACATGTAAAAGCTAACAAGTTACTTCTGAATCAAGCAATTCAATTGAAAAGAATACAAGACTCACTTGTTAAGAAATTGAGTCTCAAGATAAGAATATGAGTTCTTATATATAATAAGAGTTCTGAGAAGTTTCAATCTAGATAATTTGAGTTATATAAGATACTCAAATCACATTCTCTGAGAATATATACATTGAAAGAATCAGAGAAATGAGTCTTACATAACTTA